GGAAAAAAGCCAAAAAAAAACCTATGCAAAGTGAGCAAAAAAAACAAAAGAGGCCCTGAAATTTTTGTAGAAAGGGTTTGGGTTTGAGTGAGAAAGTGTTGTGAGAAATTTATGTCAAAAAATTTTTTAAAAAGGAAAAAATGACATGGAATGAAAAAGGAAGGAAGGGTAAATGAGCCCCAAGGGTTTAAAAATTGGGCTAAAAAAAATATTAAAATGTATTTGGCAAAAAAAAAATTTACCTATGAATCACTGGGTTCCAAAAAAATTTTTCTATATAAAGTGAAACTTCTTGTGAAATGCTTTAAAAAACCTTTTTCAAACAATTTTAAGGGCCAAAAAAGTAATGTGCAGTGGTTGGATAGAGTCCAAAATCTAAAAAATAATGTAGATATGTAGAAAAAGTCCCAAGATGAGCTTACATGATTACTTATAAAGAATAAATTAAAAAAAAATTTAGAAGGGTGGAAAGGTTTGAACTTTTACCATACATTTTTTTCTGAAAAAAAAATAAAAAAAGGTAATGGGGAACCCAAAATTTTGTATATTATAAAATCATAAAAAAAATATAAAGGGAAATTTTTAAATTTAAAATTTTCTAAACCCCTTGAAAAAGGTAGAAAAAGTGGTAATTTGTTAAATACAGCCCCCTTATCACTTAGCGATGTTAGAAGCACTTTTTCAGCTTTATTATTAGGGAAACAAACACAACACCTGTTGACAAAATTTGAAGGATAAAGACAAAATTTTTTTAAAATAGTTTTAAAAAATTTGAAGGGGAAAATGTACAAAGTTTGAAGGATTATATACAAAGTTTTAAGGATAAAGGGGACCAATTTGAAGGATAGTGTTTCAAAAATTTGAAGGATAGGTACCAAAATTTTAAGGATAGTGTTCAAAATTTGAAGGAAAAGTGTTCAAAGTTTGAAGGATAGTGTACAAAAATTTGAAGGATAGGGACAAAGTTTTAAGGATTTTGTGTACAAGGTTTTAAGGATAGTGTAAAGGTTTGAAGGATAGTGCACAGGTTTGAAATGGTTGTATAAGGTTTTGAGCAGAGCCGGGAAATGAAGACTAGACCACAAAAATTTGTGGTATTGTTTGCCCCGTAATACACCACTGCCCCTATCTTCAAAAAATAAGTTTCCAGTGATTCAGTCCTTTTTTCCCAATTTCCCGTGATTCGTCCCAAATTTCCTAAATTTTCCCGTGATTCAGTCCATGTTTCCCCAATTTCCAAATGTTTAGTCCTGTTTCCTAAATTTCAGTGCTTTTTTGAAAGGGAGATGAAAGGGTTTTGGTCCAAGGAAAATTTGGCGATTTCTCCCTCCCCAAAATCGAGCCTGACCGCCCTTTGGGGACCCTGGCATTGTATGATCCCCGTGGGGTTAGTGTTTTCTCATTTAAAGTTAAAAAAATAATATGTTGCAGTAATAAAAATTTAAAAGGGACAATCCCATGACGGGGAAAGATACACAAAAAAACCCCCAATAGAAGGAGGAGCTTACGGGGACGTTTCGGGCCGATTTTGGGCCAAATTTTTTAAAATTCCCCCCGTCAGTGGGGCTTTGTAAATGGTCCCCAAATGGGACCCAAACGTCATCGTAAACTCCTCCCAAATTTTTGTGGGGGTTAATTTTTGTATAAAAATGTTGCAGTTTTTAAAATGTAGTATTGGCAGGGTGTGCAAAAAAGGAAAAAAATTAAAGGTGAATACAGGAAAGAGTAAGGTTATGAGGATAACAAAAAAAATTAGGTGATGAAAAATTTGGGTATCAGATTGGAGGGAGAGAGTATGGAGGGGGTGAATGTATTAGGGTATTTGGGAGTGGAAAGTGTCAGCGGAGGGTCTATGAAAGATGAGGTGAATATAGAATTGATGAGGGGAAAAAAGAATTTTTTGGGGGTGGTTTCACTTAGGAGTCTGTGGGGGGACAAAAGAAATTTGTTCCCTTTGGGGCCAAAAAGGGGAATGTTGAGAGTATAGTTTTACCCCAAAGCTCTTATATGGGGGGTGAACGGGGGGGATGAATTTTTCAGCGAGGGAAGGTGGAAGGGGGGTGGAGATGTCATGTCTGGGGGGGCAATTTTTGTGGTGTGAAATAAAAATGCAGAGAATTGGGAGTTTGGAAGTTAGAAGGAGGTACGGGTTTTCCAAAAAATGTTGTCCGAGGGCTGAGGGGGGGTTTTTGAGGTGGGTTGGCATGTTGATAGAATGGAGGGGAAACAAAAAAGACTTAAGGTTAAACAGTTGTTGTGGGAAAGGGAAAGGGGGGGTAGGGGGCGGCCTAGGAAAGTTGGAGGGAGGGGGTAAAGGGGGTTTTGGGGGTGCGAGGGGCTTGGACTTCCCGCGGCAGCGTTTAGCGGGTTTTTATTTGGAGTGAATTTGGGGGACAAATGGTTTTTAAAACTTGAGTGCTGTTGGAGTGTGAGCAAAATAACATTTTTGAAGGGGTTCGGGAAAAGGCAGGCCCGGGCTTTAGTCCTGGAGGGTGGGAAGTACAGTGCTGCACTTGAAGGAGGGGTTTTTTAAGGGTTTCAGTTTAAAAACTGTAGTGGAAAAACACCTTTGGGGAAAGGGCGTGATGGAGTGAAAGATGGGTGAAAGTTTTTCTTTTTCGGGCCCCCCTGCCTTGGTGGGGAAACGGCAGTGTGTAATAAAAAAAAAAAAAAAAAAATATTGGCACATCTCGGCAAGACAGTGATTTGGGGGTGAGTTTATGATGAAAGTGTTTCGACTTTTTTGAGCCACTTTTCCTTTTTTAGGAAACGCTGATGTGTTATAACCTAATTCAGATTGTTTTTTTTGTGAAGTAAAATTTTTTTTTTATTTTTCCCGTTTTAATTTTTTTGAGGAGGATTGGGGTTTCTGCAAAAGCATTTCCCGAGAAAAAGACTGTTAGGGACAAATGCAGATCCAAGAGGGCCATCGTCGGTATGTTAGGACCCCAGGTACATTTTGAAAAGGGGCTTTAAAAAGGTCCTTTAAAAACCGGAATTGACCATGTACCAAACCCCGCAAGGACCCTAAAAAGAAAGTTAAAAACAGTGGGCCCCCCGGGTTTTCAATCAGCTCCCCCAAAGGACCAAATTTTGTAAGTGCCCTTTAAGTAAGTGCGTTTGAAAGGTATGGGTTTTGGGGGGTTTAAATGGACCCAATTTTAATTTTACAATATTCCTTTGGGAACAAATTCAGTCAGTACTGGGCCCCGAAAAATACTTCTGGAATGAAAAAATATCGGGAAAACCGGGGGGGCATGTATTAGATATATAATCTGCGGAAATTTCAAGCAAATTTTTGGGAAAATTATGATTCTAAGCAGGAAAAATTTTGTATGTGGGGTTTTTTTTTACCAATCTAAAATAAAAAAAAAAAAACATGATGAAGTAAGCAAAAAAATAGTAATGTAATAAACAAATATTTGGGAAAATATAGAAGTTTATTTTTAAAAATTTTTTATGGACCTAAAAATTTTTTTACGAAAATCAATAGCAGCAAACAGCAAATGGGGGTGGTAGAACAGCAGCAGCTGCTTGGCCCCTTTTTTACAATTTTTTATAAACCATTTTTCCCCCAATTTTTATAAAGCTTCCCACTCTATTGGCCCTGATGTTTTCTTTATGTGACACCCAAACTCATCCCCCGTGTGTAATGACCCAAAATTTTAAAATTTTTAAAAATTTTTTTTACTGGGAAAACCCAAAAAAAAACCCCCCAGGCGACAAAATCTCCCTTTTTCATTTTCTGATGGAACCCGCCCCTTTTTGCCCGAAGTAGGCAGCAGGGGAACAGGAAGAAAAGTGCCAATGGTTCGACCCCAAAGGCGATGCCATTTTTTCCCCCACCAAAATAAATTTGGGAATCCCCTAGGGTCCCTATCTCTGTTTTTCCTGTGTAATGAGGGGAAAAGGGAAAGAACAGGTACAATGAGTTTATTATGCGTTTTTGGCAAGGAGGCATTATTAATTCAACAGGAAATAAAATTTTTCTCAAAAAAAATTGGAAAAAATGAGTATAATTTAAAATCTTCATTTAAGAACAATGATTTTAAAAAATTTTGGATATAAGGAAAAAAATCCACTGATAAAATGGGGTATGAAAAAAAAGAAAAAAAGTCGGGTTTTTACAAAACTATCCCTTATTGTTCAGTACGTGTATTACATTATGGTTAAGTACAATATTACCCCGAGCTTTAGTTTTTTTATAAAAGGTTCACCAAGAGCAAATGTTTTTAAGAACAATATACATATTTGATCAAAAACAAAGAAAATGTTTTAAAAAAAAAATTTTACTTGCTTGATCCCAAAAACAGACAAAATTTCACTTGAAAAATTTTAAAATGGCAGCCCCAGAATAGCATCAGTCATTTATAGTTACACAAAAGTTGGGGGAAATTAATGCCCCTTTTGTTTTCAATTAATATTTCTACATTTTTTTTAAATTTTTCCTTTACTTGGCAATGTACTCATTTACCGCGATCGGACTTACACGAGCTCTCTGACCCGTTTTGCAACCTAAATTTAAAGGGATATATTTGAGCTAATTTCCTCTATTTTGTTTTATTACAAAATATGTACAGTACACTACTGTATAAAATTTAAAAATATACTAAAAATTCCCTTTTAAATAGTGTAAAAAGGGGCATTTTAAAAAAATATCGAAGATGGGGTGGGGCAAAAAAATCCCCTACCTTTATTTGCTCCTTTTTTAGCGACCCAAAATTTGTTTACCAACACGTCTAAGGGAAAAGGGAATCCATCGTTAAAATGAGGAGGTCGGGCTAGTTTTACCCCAAGGGGTTGGGTTGGGTGGTTCATTAATTGCATTCTTATACAGTAGTAAATAGACTACAGCAAAGAGAATTTATTTCAATAACTAACATTTTATAAAAATGGCCGTTTCACTTAATGTATACATGTACTTTATTTTTTTTTAGGTCACCCTGCCTCAGGGGGATATGGCCGGTTTGATGAAAAAACACTTCACGTATACACAAAATTATGCTTAAGTATACATACTGTGATTCTTTAATAAGCTATGAGTACTAATGCTCTAACTTTATCTATCATCATACTACACTGAACTTTTTCCTGTACCTTGGTTTACTTAGGGATCTTCTTGACATATTTTAGTTCATGAGTGAGCCAGAGAGCACAGGAGAGTGTCGGAGTGAGCCAGATTGATCCCATGGCAGCCAGTGCAACAGGAACATACAGTAACAATGTTGAAATGCCGAGGCCAACCTGCAACACAAAAATATATTTAATACACAAAATGTCTTTTAAATTTATGCCCAAGTTTGTGCAAAATAACTTGAAAAATTTTGAGAACATAGAATATTTTGGCATAGTCCTTCCAAGGGTATGCCTTGATGCTGAAAGGTTTCTGATCCAAGGAACTGGACCTACCTTCCCCTTTAATGGATCAAACCTGATTATCACCCAAGCACTGTATGACCCTTACAGGTTAAGTGCTTACCCATAAATATAGTAATATGATTTAAATTGTTTAGAAAACTGTTAACTTGAAGAATGAAACACTTGTATAACATTTGGGAATCATTATTATGGAAACATTTCACCAGCCAGTGGCTTCTTCAGTTTAATACAGAGGAGAACGGTAGAAGATAAGTAGGACTCTGAGGTGATCAGTCCCTCAGCCTGTAGTCAATGTGTTAAGTCCATTAGTTTCAAGATTGAGGGATTGAACACATAAAACTCCAGATTGAGGGACTAATCACCTCAAACTCCTACTTATCTTTCACCATTCTTCTCTGTATTGGACTGAAGAAGCCACTGGCTGGTGAATCATTTCCACAATGAAAATTCTTAAATTTTGCACAAGTGTCTCATTCTTCAACAGAAGGTGGAGGTCAAGGTCACCTGCATCCAGGTAACAGCACCAAGAGCTGTGGCAGCAGTGTATGCCCGCGGTGGAAGTTTCATCCCTCTCCGACACCACAGCATTAAGGCTGTGGCTAAGCACACCGAGACTGTTCCCTTTGGAAAACAAAAATTGTTGTAATTAAAGCATTTTTATTAATAATAGTTTGGCTGATTAACCCTTTCAGGGTCCGTCCCGTAGATCTACGGCTTTACGTTCAGGGTCCAAACCGTAGATCTACGCCATGAGCTCAGCTCACTCTGATAAACTGTGAGTGGTACATTTGGGCCTAGATATGAGAGAATACATCTATGTGGTATGTGTGCACCACATAAAACAGATCCTGCAGCACACTGTGTATAATGAGAGAAAAAAATGAAATCATGATTTTTCGATTAAAACAGCAACTTTGCAGTGTTTTTTCGTATGTTTTTTATAGTTGTATTTGCGATTTCTTGGTCTCATTTGATAGAATGGAAGACATATTACAGAAATAGAGATGATTTTGATTGGTTTTAGCACTGGAAATGGCTTGAAACTGAGCTCAAAGTAGCAGAAATGTTAAATTTTTGCCGATATTCAAGAGTAAACAAACGACCTCACACGTCAGCTGGTGGGTCTAATATACATTCACAAATATGGTGATGATATTTATACAATTATTACAGTATTGCATAACAGTAAATCTTCTTTTTTTGGTGTGTGAATAAAAATTCATTATGTGAATAAAAAATCAAAATGGAATTTATTTGTAAAGCCTCAAAACATAACTAATGAACAGAGGAAATGTTAGTTTAGTGCCAGGAATGCCTACATTGTTTATTCTGGACCCTATTTTGAAATTGGAATATTTTGAACTTTGTGTTAAATTGGCCAAATTAACAATTTCCGATCACTTTATTTTGTAGTTGAAACAGTTGACTTGGCGATTTCTTGTGCTCAATCGATAGAATAGAAGTAATACTAGTGAAATAGCTAAGAATTTGGTTGATTGGAATAATGTAATTGGCCTAAAATGGGAGTCAAAGTCGGCAAAATCGCCAATTCGTAAATATCGCTGACACATCAAAATTCGCGAGAGCATAATTTCGTCAATTTTCCACCAAATTTCATACTTTTTGTTTTATTACCTTCACAAAAAGATTCTCTGCGATTTCATAAAAAAAATTACAAATTTTTTTTTTGAAAATTCTTGGACACTGGTGCATGACTCCAGATTTGGGCCTTGGACCCTGAAAGGGTTAAGGCTGTTCATGACAGCTTTACCAGGGGTGGTTACTCTCAATTTATTTTTATTTTTGGGGGGTTTCTAACACATTTCTAGCCAATTTCTAGCAAGGTAGGGTGACCTAACAGAGGAAAACATTCACTCTCACTCATTCTCTGGCTGTTTTTCTAGGCATGAAAATTCTCGTAATCCACCAATCCATAATTCCCTTTACAGCAAAACACTGTACAGTGAACTGCTGTAAAGAGGGGCCCTCCTGTACTGAAAACATGTCTGCCTAAATACATATATGAGAATATTGCATATTGAATATTGCAGCCAGCAGTAGCAGCCTGGTTGATCAGACCCTAATCCACCATGAGGCCTGGTCTCAGACCGGGCCACGGGGGTGTTGACCCCCGAAACCCTCTCCAGGTAAACAGAAGAACAGTTTCAACTTACCATAACCCTGTGATCAAACTGTACTGTTGTGGGGTTTTCAGTAAAGTTTCTTAGTGTTGGGGATAAGGCCAAGAGGTCACTGGGAATCCACCGATCAGCAAACTTTGGGAAGGAGTTGTATACCAATCCTGCATCCAGCCCTGCTACCAGAGCTCCTGAAATATACCACAGAATTATAGACTCTTAAAATGCACATGACACAGAAATCACAGTGAATGATTTCTTAATGAATTAAAAAAATAAAAACAATTTAACTCATGTTATAAGACAAATATAAAAACTGAACAGTTCTGCTGTATGCAATAATAATAATAATAATAATAATAATAATAATAATAATAATAATAATAATAATACAGTGGACCCCCGGTTTACGATCATCTCCCAATGCGACCAATTATGTAAGTGTATTTATGTAAGTGCATTTGTATGTGTATGTTTGGGGGTCTGAAATGGACTAATCTAATTCACAATATTCCTTATGGGAACAAATTCGGTCAGTACTGGCACCTGAACATACTTCTGGAATGAAATAATATCGTAAACCGGGGGTCCACTGTAATAATAAGAGACAACACAGTAGAACTGCTTCACGGTTGTTGCTGGTGAAGGATTCTTCATTGAAGAAATTGGAGCTCTACCATCCCCTCAGATCAAACTTGATTACCAAACATTCCCCAGGCACTGTATGACATGTACAGATTTGGCACTTTTCCATAATTATTATTATAATAACAAGAACACAAAGGAACATACTTCAGCAGATATGTAAAAATGAATGTTTGTGAGGAAGGGTATAAGAAACTAAGTAATTCTGTAAAACTGCATGCAATATACAGATTCTAGGTTCAATTAGTCAGTTCTATGCTGCAAGCAGAGTAAGATATGTAGAATTTATAAGCATAAATTAACATACAAAAATCACTTTAGAGTCATTATTCATGTGTTTTTGATTAAAAATATAAGCAAAGCATGTCATACCTGAAAGTGCTGTGATGAACACCCAGCCCTTAGTCATGTGAGCAAGCATGCGGAACTTCCGTGCTTGTGCAGTTACCTGGAGGATCACATGCTTTTGTGTTAATCTGAATTCCCATGACAAATTAATCAAGTCATGTATAATGCTAAGTGATATGAGCAATAATCTGCTTCTCAGTCACAAGGGTAGATATGTGCCTTAATCTGTAGTTACAGGATCAGGGCTATACCAATTGTCTTCCATATTAAATGTTTTTTTTTTTGAAAGAAAAAAGTGAATAGTAATAGAAGGTAAAATGTCTAATAGGAGTAATGTCAACAGTTGATGTCACAAGGACGTGTGCTTGCCCTATTAATTTCCATACCTGGGTACCACAACAATTAATGTTTGTGCCAATAATGCCCCAAGTGGAGTGCCACAAGGATTGGTGCTTGCCCCAGTTAATGTTTCTAATCTACATACCTACATGACCATCCAGAAGGAATTACAATATATGTGAACATATTTGAGGATAAGCCAAAAAAATCCTATGCAAGATGAGCAAAGAAAACAAAGAGGGCCGTGAATTTGTGTAGAAAGACCTGGATAGAGTGAGAAAGTGTTGTGAGAAATTGATGTCAAAAAATTAAAATGGATAAATGACATGTAATGAAAATGGAAGGAAGGGTAAATGAGCCACAAGGATTATAAATTGTCTAAAAATATATTAAAATGTATTAGGCAAAGAAATTGACCTATGAATCACTGTTACCAAAAGATCATCTATATAAAGTGACAACTTCTCTGTGAAATGCTTAAAAACTCTTCATAACAAAAATTAAGCCAAAAATGTAATGTGCAGTGGTGGTATAGAGTCCACATCTAAAAAATAATGTAGATAAGCTAGAAAAAGTCCTAAGATGAGCTTACATGATTACTTATAAAGAATAAATTAAAAAAATTCAGAAGGCTGAAAGGTTTGAACATATACCATACATTTTGGCTGAAAAAAAAGTAAAATAGGTGACATGGTAACCACATTTAGTATATTATAAGATCATAAAAGAATATGAAAGAATTGATAATCAAGATTTTCTAACACTCTGAACAGGTAGAACAAGTGGTAATAGTTATATACAGCCTCTTATCACTTAGCGATGTTAGGAAGCACTTTTTCAGCTTTATTATTAGGAAGCAAACACAACACCTGTACAAAATTTGAAGGATAATGTACAAAGTTTAAAGTATAGTGTAAAAAGTTTGAAGGATAGTGTACAAAGTTTGAAGGATAGTATACAAAGTTTGAAGGATAGTGTACAAAGTTTGAAGGATAGTGTACAAAGTTTGAAGGATAGTGTACAAAGTTTGAAGATAGTGTACAAAGTTTGAAGGATAGTGTACAAAGTTTGAAGGATAGTGTACAAAGTTTGAAGGATAGTGTACAAAGTTTGAAGGATAGTGTACAAGGTTTGAAGGATAGTGTACAAGGTTTGAAGGATAGTGCACAAGGTTTGAAGTGAGTTGTATAAGGTTAAGAGCAGAGCCGGAGTGAAGACTAGACCACAAATATGTGAGTATTGTTTGCCCAGTAATACACCACATGCCCATATCTTCAAAAAATAAGTCTTCCAGTGATTCAGTCCATGTTTCCTAATTTCCAGTGATTCAGTCCAAGTTTCCTAATTTCCAGTGATTCAGTCCATGTTTCCTAATTTCCAGTGATTCAGTCCATGTTTCCTAATTTCCAGTGCTTTTTCTGAAGGCAGATGAAGGCTTTTGGTCCAAGAAATTAGAGCGATATTCTCCCTCCTCAGATCGAGCCTGACCGCCTTGGAGTACCCTGGCATTGTATGATCCCTGTGGGCTTAGTGTTTTCTCATGAATGTAATAATAATAATATGTTGCAGTAATAACAATAAAAGGCACAATACCATGACTGGAACGATACACAAATAACCCGCACATAGAAGAGAGGAGCTTACGACGACGTTTCGGTCCGATTTGGACCATTTACAAAGTCACAGTCAGTGTGACTTTGTAAATGGTCCAAGTGGGACCGAAACGTCATCGTAAGCTCCTCAATTCTATGTGCGGGTTATTTGTGTATAATATGTTGCAGTTTTGAACTGTAGTATTGGCAGGGTGTGCAAAAGAAGAAAATTAAAGGTGAATACAGGAAAGAGTAAGGTTATGAGGATAACAAAAAGATTAGGTGATGAAAGATTGGATATCAGATTGGAGGGAGAGAGTATGGAGGAGGTGAATGTATTCAGATATTTGGGAGTGATGTGTCAGCGGATGGTCTATGAAAGATGAGGTGAATCAAGAATTGATGAGGGAAAAAGAGTGAGTGGTGCACTTAGGAGTCTGTGGAGACAAAGAACTTTGTCCTTGGAGCAAAGAGGGGAATGTATGAGAGTATAGTTTTACCAACGCTCTTATATGGGTGTGAAGCGTGGGTGATGAATGTTGCAGCGAGGAGAAGGCTGGAGGCAGTGGAGATGTCATGTCTGAGGGCAATGTGTGGTGTGAATATAATGCAGAGAATTCGTAGTTTGGAAGTTAGAAGGAGGTGCGGGATTACCAAAATGTTGTCCAGAGGGCTGAGGAAGGGTTGTTGAGGTGGTTCGGACATGTAGATAGAATGGAGCGAAACAAAATGACTTCAAGAGTATATCAGTCTGTAGTGGAAGGAAGGCGGGGTAGGGGTCGGCCTAGGAAAGGTTGGAGGGAGGGGGTAAAGGAGGTTTTGTGTGCGAGGGGCTTGGACTTCCAGCAGGCATGCGTTGAGCGAGTTTGATAGGAGTGAATGGAGACAAATGGTTTTTAATACTTGACGTGCTGTTGGAGTGTGAGCAAAGTAACATTTATGAAGGGGTTCAGGGAAACCGGCAGGCCGGACTTGAGTCCTGGAGATGGGAAGTACAGTGCCTGCACTCTGAAGGAGGGGTGTTAATGTTGCAGTTTAAAAACTGTAGTGTAAAGCACCCTTCTGGCAAGACAGTGATGGAGTGAATGATGGTGAAAGTTTTTCTTTTTCGGGCCACCCTGCCTTGGTGGGAATCGGCCAGTGTGATAATAATAAAAAAAAAAAAAAATATTGGCACATCTCTGGCAAGACAGTGATGGAGTGAGTGATGATGAAAGTGTTTCGACTTTTTTGAGCCACTTTGCCTTATTAGGAAACAGCTGATGTGTTAATAACACTAATTCAGATTGTTTTTTTTGTGAAGTAAAAATTTTTATTTTATTTACCTGTTGAATTTTCTGAGGAGGATAGGTTACTGCAAGAGCATTCCAGAGAAAAAGACTGTAGAGGACAAATGCAGATCCAAGATGGGCCATCAGTCGGTACTGTGAGACCCTAGGTACATCTGAAGGGTCTTTAAAACGGTCCTCAAGACCAGACTTGACCATGTACCATCCCAGCAGACCCTAAAAACAGAAAGTATATACAGTGGACCCCCGGTTTACAATCAGCTCCCAATGCGACCAATTATGTAAGTGCATTTATGTAAGTGCGTTTGTATGTGTATGTTTGGGGGTCTGAAATGGACTAATCTAATTCACAATATTCCTTATGGGAACAAATTCAGTCAGTACTGGCACCTGAACATACTTCTGGAATGAAATAATATCGTAAACCGGGGGTCCACTGTATTAGATATATAATCTGCGGAACTTTCAAGCAATTTTGGCAAAATTATGACTTCTAAGCAGGAAAAATTTATGTATGTGGCTTTTTTACCAATCTAATATAAAAAAATAAACATGATGAAGTAAGCAAAATAATAGTACTGTATATAAACAAATATATAGAATATATAGAAGTATATTATAAAATTTATGATGTACACTAAAAATTATTTACAGAAAACTCAATAGCAGCAGCAGCAGTGGTGGTGGTAGCAACAGCAGCAGCTGCTGCTTTTTCACAATTTTGATAAATCCATTTATCACAATTTTGATAAAGCTTCCTACTCTACTTGGCCCTGATGTTATCTTGATGTGACACCAAGCTCACTCCCCCACGTGTGTAATGACAAATTAAATTTTTAAATATTTTTTACCTGAAAGCCAATAAGAACCCCACAGGCGACAACTCTCTTCTTCATTGCTCGAGTGAACCAGCCTTTATGCCAGAAGTAGGCAGCAGGCAACAGGAAGAATGTGCCAATGGTTCGACCCCACTGGCGATGCCCATATTCCATCCACCATATAAATTTGAACTCCTCTAGGGTCATATCTCTGTTTTTCCTGTGTAATGAAGGAAAGGTATGAACAGGTACAATGAGTTCATTATGCGTATGAGCAAGGAGGCATTATTAATTCAACAGGAAATAAATTTACTCAAGAAATTGGAAAAATGAGTATAATAAACTCTTCATTTAATGAACAATGATTTAAAAAGTTTTGGATATACAGGACAAAATCCACTGATAAACTGACTATGAAACAAGAAATAAAAGTCGGTTGCTTACAAAACTATCCATTATTGTACAGTACGTGTATTACATTATGGTTAAGTACAATATTACCAGAGCTATAGTTCTATACATAAAGGTTCACCAAGAGCAAATGTTTCAAGAACAACTATACATATTTGATCAAAAGCAAAGAACATGTTTAAAAAAAATTATACTTAGCTTGATCAAAATCAGACAAAATTTCACTTAGAAAATTATTACATGACAGCCACAGAATAGCATCAGTCATTATAGTTACACAAAAGTGATGAACTTAATGCCCTTCTGTATCAATTACATATTTCTACATTTTTTTTATTTTCCTCACTTGGCAATGTACTCATTTACCGACGACTCGGACTTACGACGAGCTCTCTGACCAGTTCGCACACCTAAATAATGCACTATATTAGAGCTAATTTCCTCTATTTTGTTTATTACAATATATGTACAGTACACTACTGTATAAACATTTAAAAATATACTAAAAATCTTATAAATAGTGTAAAGGTGACATTAAAACAATATCGAAGATGGCTGACACAAATCCACTACCTTTATAGTATGCTCCTTCTTAGCGACAAATTCGTTTACCAACATCGTCTAAGGAACGGAACTCCATCGTTAAGTGAGGAGAGTCTGTACTAGATATACCCAAGGTTGATTGGCTGGATAGCCTCAAGGAACATTATGACCACTATTTATGTAGCCACATATATATGCATTTACAGTACTGATGTTGAACTTTATCAGTAACTTAGTTTTGACAAATATTTTAGATCTTGTAAAATTTTGCTTAATGAACATAAAGGAAGCTAAGACATTCATTGTTCCTAGATTTATGTTTTAGTATGGTAATTCAAGCAAATTGATCTAATGTAAAATAATTACAGTGGACCCCCGCATAGCGATATTAATCCGTGCAAGAGAGCTCATTGTTATGCGAAATTATCGTTATGCGAATGAATTTTCCCCATAAGAAATAATGGAAATCAAATTAATCCGTGCAAGACACCCCAAAGTATGAAAAAAAAAAATCTTTACCACATGAAATACTAATTTTAATACACACAAACTGAAAAAGGCATGCACAATTACATGACACTTACTTTTATTGAAGATCTGGTGATGATTGATGGGATGGGAGGAGGAGAGAGTGTTAGTGTTTAGAAGGGGAATCCCCTTCCATTAAGACTTGAGGTGTCAAGTCCTTTTCTGGGGTTACTTCCCTTCTTCTTTTAATGCCACTAGGACCAGCTTCAGAGTCACTGGAGTTCTGTCGCACAACATATCTGTCCATAGTGGCCTGTACCTCTCGTTCCTTTATGACTTCCCTAAAGTGTTTCACAACATTGTCAGTGTAATAGTCACCAGCATGGCTTGCAATAGCTGTGTGAGGGTGATTTTCATCCATGAAGGTTTGCACTTCAAGCCACTTTGCACAGATTTCCTTAATCTTTGTAGTAGGCAATTTCTTCAATTTCTCTCTCCCCTCCTTCGAACCAGTTTCCTCAGGTCTGGCCTCTTGCTGTTGAAGTTGATCTATCAGCTCATCAGTGGTTAGTTCTTCATCGTCCTCCTCCACCAACTCTTCCACATCATCCCCACTAACCTCCAACCCCAAGGACTTTCCCAATGCCATAATGGATTCCTCAACTGGCATAGGATTCTCAGGGTTAGCCTGAAACCCTTCAAAATCCCTTTGGTCTACACATTCTGGCCACAGTTTCTTCCAAGCAGAGTTCAAGGTCCTCTTAGTCACTCCCTCCCAAGCCTTACCTATAAGGTTTACACAATTGAGGATATTAAAGTGATCTCTCCAAAAGTCTCTTAGAGTCAGTTGAGTTTCTGAGGTCACTACAAAGCACCTTTCAAACAGAGCTTTTGTGTACAGTTTTTTGAAGTTTGCAATAACCTGCTGGTCCATGGGCTGCAGGAGAGGAGTGGTATTAGGAGGCAAAAAACTTCACCTTAATGAATTTCATGTCCCCATAAAGTTGCTCTGCCACGTCTGTAGGATGACCAGGGGCATTGTCTAACACCAGGAGGCACTTAAGTTCTAATTTCTTTTCAGTTAGGTAATCTTTCACATTGGGGCAAATGCATGGTGTAACCAGTCATAGAAAAAGTCCCTAGTGACCCATGCCTTACTGTTTGCCCTCCACAGCACACACAAATTTTCCTTGAGGACATTCTTTTGCCTGAACGGTCTGGGAGTTTCAGAGTGATACACTAATAAAGGCTTCACTTTGCAATCACCAGTAGCATTGGAACACATCAACAGAGTAAGCCTGTCTTTCATAGGCTTATGTCCTGGGAGTGCCTTTTCCTCCTGAGTAATGTAGGTCCTGCTTGGCATTTTCTTCCAAAACAGGCCTGTTTCATCACAATTAAACACTTGTTCAGGTTTCAGTCCTTCAGTTTCTATGTACTCCTTGAATTCCTGCACATATTTTTCAGCTGCTTTGTGGTCCGAACTGGCAGCCTCACCATGCCTTATCACACTATGTATGCCACTATGCCTCTTAAATCTCTCAAACCAACCTTTGCTGGCCTTAAATTCACTCACATCATCACTAGTTGCAGGCATTTTTTTTAATTAAATCCTCATGCAACTTCCTAGCCTTTTCACTTATGATCACTTGAGAGATGCTATCTCCTGCTATCTGTTTCTCATTTATCCACACCAATAAGAGTCTCTCAACATCTTCCATCACTGCGATCTCTGTTTCGAAAATACAGTTAAACCTTTGGCAAGAACAGCTTCCTTGATTGCCTTTTTGTTGCCCACAATAGTAGCGATGGTTGATTGGGGTTTACTATACAACCTGGCCAGCTCGGAGACACGCACTCCACTTTCATACTTATCAATGATCTCTTTCTTCATCTCTATAGTAATTCTCACCCTTATTGCTGTAGGGTTGGCACTAGAAGCTTTCTTGGGCCCATGTCACTTATTTTGCAGATAAAATCACCAGAAACACTGTAATAATACGAAATGTTCCGATTGTATGCTTGGATGTTACCGCGGAGGCTGGCTGGTAAACAATGCCACCGGCGGAACATGTGAGGCTGGCTAAGGGCGCACATTAGATGCGTCTCGGACAAACAGCGTTGAGCGGGTTTTTTAGCGGTATGCGAGGCAAAATCTTGGCGATAAAATGTAGCGGTATGCGGATTTAACGTTATGTGATGCCAACGGTATGCGGGGGTCCACTGTAATGGCTTGGCTTGGTAGAGATATTTACTGCATATCTTCAATGAAGGAAGCGATTTTAAAAACTATGACATTCAGTATTCTTAAATTTATATTTTAGTATTGCATTTCAAGTAAGTACAGTGGACCCACGGTTTACGATCAGCTCCCAATGCGACCAATTATGTAAGTGTATTTATGTAAGTGCGTTTGTATGAGTATGTTTGGAGGTCTGAAATGGACTAATCTAATTCACAATATTCCTTATGGGAACAAATTCGGTCAGTACTGGCACCTGAACATACTTCTGGAATGAAATAATATCGTAAACCGGGGGTCCACTGTATACCTAAAGTAGCTACATCATGATTTGGCTCCATTAGGATCTGACTGTAGATAACTGCATAAAACTCCTACTTAATTACCTGGAGTTTACCTGGAGAGAGTTTCGGGGGTCAACGCCCCCGCGGCCCGGTCTGTGACCAGGCCTCCTGGTGGATCAGCGCCTGATCAACCAGGCTGTTGCTGCTGGCTGCACGCAAACCAACGTAACGAGCCACAGCCCGGCTGAAACAGGAACTGGGCTTTAGGTGCTTGTCCAGTGGGCCCGCTTGAAGACTGCCAGGGGTCCCGTTGGTAATCCCCCTTATGTGTGCTGGAGGCAGTTGAAAAAGTCTCGGGGCCCCCGACACTTAAATTTTATGGTCCCCTTAACGTGCAGTGACAAACCCCCGCTTTTCATTTGGGGGGATGGTGCATCGTCTGCCAAGTCTTTTGCTTTCGTAAATGAGTGTTTTCGTGTGCAAGTTCGGTACTAGTCCCTCTAGATTTTCCGGTGTATATAATCATGTATCTCTCCCTCCTGCGTTCCAGGGAATACAGGTTTAGAAACCTCAAGCGCTCCCAGTAAATTGAGGTGTTTTATCTCCGTTATGCGCGCCGTGAAAGTTCTCTGTACATTTTCTAGGTCGGCAATTTTCACCTGCCTTGAAAGGTGCTTTTTTAGAGTGCAGCAAAAAATCCACCCATAGATAGAACAATGACCTGAAGAGTGTCATCATGGGCTTGGCCTCCCTAGTTTTGAAGGTTCTCATTATCCATCCTGTCATTTTTCTAGCAGATGCGTTTTGATACAATGTTATGGTCCTTGAAGGTGAGATCCTCCGACTAATCACTCCCAGGTCTTTGACGTTGGGTTTCGCTCTATTCGTGGCCAGAATTTGTTTTGTACTCTGATGAAGATTTAATTTCCCTCATGTTTACCATATCTGAGTAATTGAAATTTCTCATCGTTGAACTTCATATTGTTTTCTGCAGCCCACTGAAAGATTTGGTTGATGTCCGCCTGGAGCCTTGCAGTGTCTGCAATGGAAGACACTGTCATGCAGATTCGGGTGTCATCTGCAAAGGAAGACACGGTGCTGTGGCTGACATCCTTGTCTATGTCGGATATGAGGATGAGGAACAAGATGGGAGCTAGTACTGTGCCTTGTGGAACAGAGCTTTTCACCGTAGCTGCCTCGGACTTTACTCTGTAGTTTTTAAGCATTCCAATTAGTTTGCCTGAAATGCATTGCATAGTAGTGACTTTCTTTATTGCTTACCAGTGTTTTACTCATGTAAACTACATTACGTATTTGTACTGCTTAAAGAAATAAAAATTGTATTGTACTACATAGGGTAGAAATAGGGTAGTTGATGAGTGGAACAGTCTACCTAGTTGGGTTATTGAGGCTAGGACTTTGGGTAGTTTCAAATTTAGGTTGGATAAATATATGAGTGAGAGGGGTTGGATTTGAGTGAGACTTGCACATCAGAGCTTATATCTTGGGTAGCATTGAAAATTGGGTTGGGCAAATGTTTTGTTAGTGGCATGAATTGTAAAGGACCTGCTTAGTATGGGCCAACAGGCCTGCTGCAGTGTTCCTCCCTTCTTATGTTCTTATGTTCTTATCTTTGAAAACAGATAATGTTACATATAAACTTACAATTTGTATTCAGGGAACGCTTGATACTGGCTGAACTCCTTCTCCCATTCATCCCGGGACACTGGTGGTCGCTTCCCAAACAGATGCCAGTCAGTCATGGATAAACCAGACTCTGTCAGGCGTGTTAACCCGCCTGACAAGACATAACTACCGGTAGTTACACAATACTAGTAAATAATATACGTACCGTATGTAAATAGCTAGTAAAAAGGAACTTAACTATTGTAATAATGTTGGTAGAAATACTGACAATATGTAAAGTAAAAGGACACAAGTGCAACTAATGTGACATTTTATTGTGGCAACGTTTCGCTCTCCAGGATCGGCTTGACAAAGCTCCTGGAGAGCGAAACGTTGCCACAATAAAATGTCACATTAGTTGCACTTGTGTCCTTTTAACTTAACTATTACTGAATGAATATTATTTTTAATTTACAGTAATAGACCAGATTCCTGGAGTATACCTGGAGAGGATTTTGGGGGTCAATGCCCCCGTGGCCTGGTCTGTGACCAGGCCTCATGGTGGATCAGGGCCTGATCAACCAGGCTGTTACTGATGGTTGCACATAAACCGATGTATGACCCACAGCCCAGTTGATCAGGTACTGACTTTAGGTGCCTGTCCAAAGCCTTCTTGAAGACAGACAGGGACGAATAAAATTATAATAATAACATTACAGTGGACCCCCGCATAGCGAACTTAATCCGTGCAAGAGGGCTGGTCGTTATGCGAAATGTTCGCTATGCGAATTAATTTTCCCCATAAGAAATAATGGAAATAAAATTAATCCGTGCAAGACACCCAAAAGTATGAAAAAAATTTTTTTTTACCACAAAAAAATGTTAATTTTAGTACACACAAACTGAAAAAAGCATGCACAATTACATGACACTTACTTTTATTGAAGATCTGGTGATGATTGATGGGATGGGAGGGGGGGAGGAGAGAGTGTTAGTGTTTAGAAGGGGAATCCCTTCCATTAGGACTTGAGGTAGCAAGTCCTTTTCCGGGGTTACTTCCCTTCTTCTTTTAATGCCACTAGGACCAGCTTCAGAGTCACTGGACCTCTGTCGCACAACAAATCTGTCCATAGAGCTCTGTACCTCCCGTTCCTTTACGATTTGTCTAAAATGGGCCATAACATTGTCATTGAAATAGTCACCAGCACGGCTTGCAACAGCTGTGTCAGGGTGATTTTCATCCATAAAGGTTTGCAGTTCAACCCACTGTGCACATTTCCTTAATTTTTGAAGTAGGCACAATGGATTCCACAACTGGCATAGGCTTCTCAGGGTTAGCCCCAAACCCTTCAAAATCTTTCTTAATTTCCATACTAATTCTCACCCTTTTTACCACAGGGTTGGCACTAGAAGCTTTCTTGGGGCCCATGGTCACTTATTTTCCAGAAACAGCACCGAAAACACTGTAATAATACGAAATATTCCGAGTGTATGCTTGAATGTTACCGCGGAGGCTGGCTGGTAAACAATGGACGCGTCTCGGACGAAGGTCGCTGAGCGGGTTTTTGTCCACTATGCGGGGCAAAATTTTGGCGAACAAAGCGTTCGCTATGCGGATTGTTCGCTATGCAAGGCGTTCGCTATGCGGGGGTCCACTGTATAATGCTAATAATAATAATAACATAATTAGAATAAAAAATTAATGGAAACTACAAAAATATAATAAATTTATAATTTGTCAATCAACTCAAGCAAATCAAGTAAATAATGACAAGCACTCACCCAGAACGACTGCTCCGAAGACCATGCCTGAACAGCCATAAAGCCATCGCCCAACCCACTTCCTGCCAGCTTCTGGGATTTCATCTCCGATTGCACCTTGAATTCCTTTACTGGCTACTGTGACTGTTGTTCGCTTTAAGTAAGGCTGAATCTGCATATACTGAAAAATAAAGCCAGTTGCAGAATCCACAATAGTGACAAAATATGAGTTAATCTTAAAAATGGTAAGTTCATTTAGGTACAGGTCCACATAAATACAATTGTCATATGTAGTAGCATATGTGTATATTACCTCTGATAACCCAAAAAAAGTCAGATAAAGTGACTTATTTCCATTGGGGTCCTGGAGGTAATATAGGGTATTGCTTATAAGATTTTTAGGTGTTTCTAATAATAAATAAAATTATCAATAACTGCATAGTACCTCATTTTTTTTTTCCTAGTTAGCCCGGTAATTATACCATGGTTCAAGTCTTCGTCAATTCTCAATTCTTCTGTTTATTTAGTGACAGTTGTTCATTATGACTTGAGTTTATGTATGTATATATTCTTGAGTTTATATGCTATGTATGTATGTATATTATATATATACATACATTCCAGAATTCTGTTTGAGTGCCTCTCCGTTTGAGTATCGAACAAGTTCTTCCCAACCAATTTTCTGTTTGATTGGCTGTTATCACTAATCGTTGTAGGTCCCATGGTGACTTATTTATACAAATAATACAAACAAAACACCAAAAAATGTGAAAGAAACACAAAATAGTTTATAGCAAAGTTCTAGCAAGTCATATTTGTTTGATCGAGTGCTGAGCTTTGTTTGAGAAGGGAGCTGGTCGTATACCGAGGTTCCACTATATATACGTATATATTTTATCATTACACGTATTTATTAACACATGGGCTATTTCCCACCAAGGCAGGGTGGCCCGAAAAGGAAAAACTTTCATCATCATTCACTCCATCACTGTCTTACCAGAGGCTCACTTACACTACAGTTATAAAACTGTAACATTAACAGTACATGATGCAACTTATACAGACCATAGCTGACACCTATGACATAGTACTATACTACAGAGCGCTCCTTATTATGCAGAGAATTATGGGCGGCATATTAGGTTAATTTTGTCCCCAGGATGCAACCCACATCAGTCGACTAACACCCATGCAACCACAACTAGGTGAGTACCCAGGTAACCACAACTAGGTGAGTACCCAGGTAACCACAACTAGGCGAGTACCCAGGTAACCACAACTAGGTAAGTACCCAGGTAACCACAACTAGGTAAGTACCCAGGTAACCACAACTAGGTGAGTACCCAGGTAACCACAACTAGGCTAGTACCCAGGTAACCACAACTAGGTAAGTACCCAGGTAACCCACAACTAGGTGAGTTAACCCATGTAACCCCCAACTAGTAATACCCAGGTAACCACAATATGGTAAGTACCCCAGGTAACCACAACAGGTAGATACCCAGGTAACCACAACTAGGTAAGTACCCAGGTAACCACAACTAGGTGAGTACCCAGGTAACCACAACTAGGTAAGTACCCAGGTAACCACAACTAGGTGAGTACCCAGGTAACCACAACTAGGTAAGTACCCAGGTAACCACAACTAGGTGAGTACCCAGGTAACCACAACTAGGTAAGTACCCAGGTAACCACAACTAGGTAAGTACCCAGGTAACCACAACTAGGTAAGTACCCAGGTAACCACAACTAGGTAAGTACCCAGGTAACCACAACTAGGTAAGTACCCAGGTAACCACAACTAGGTAAGTACCCAGGTACCCACAACTAGGTAAGTACCCAGGTAACCACAACTAGGTGAGTACCCAGGTAACCACAACTAGGTAAGTACTCAGGTACCTATTTACTACTAGGTGAACAGTGACAACAGGTGTCTTAAGCCTCAGTAAAGGTTATATTTTAGAATAATTCCAGCTCCTTGGATCAAGAGCTCTTCACCGGCTCTTTAAAATGCTGAAGCAATACATATTACATATTCGTGGGAGAGCGCTAACCCCGTAGGGGTTAAAATATGTACAAAATCTTAGCTCCCGGGGGGAATACGGAGGCAGAGAGGTTTGATCCAAGGAAGTGGCGCACAAATCCACTTCCTCGGATCAAAAAATGTTGAGTGGATCTCACCTTGACATTCTTAGGAACAAATATAATGTTGGAGAACCTTGAAGTGAACCTTAATATATTCATGGTGATGGTGAGTAATATTGTTGCTGTTGGTGGTAGTCAGGGCCACCAGAGCCAGGGCTTTATTATGCTTTATTATCACTAGTCCAGGGCTTTATTATGCTTTATTATCACTAGTCCAGGGCTTTATTATGCTTTATTATCACTAGTCCAGGGCTTTATTATGCTTTATTATCACTAGTCCAGGGCTTTATTATGCTTTATTATCACTAGTCCAGGGTTTATTATGCTTTATTATCACTAGTCCAGGGCTTTATTATGCTTTATTATCACTAGTCCAGGGCTTTATTATGCTTTATTATCACTAGTCCAGGGCTTTATTATGCTTTATTATCACTAGTCCAGGGCTTTATTATGCTTTATTGCCAGAGCCAGGGCTTTATTATGCTTTATTACCAGAGCCAGGGCTTTATTATGCTTTATTGCCAGAGTCAGGGCTTTATTATGCTTTATTATCACTAGTCCAGGGCTTTATTATGCTTTATTGCCAGAGCCAGGGCTTTATTATGCTTTATTGCCAGAGCCAGGGCTTTATTATGCTTTATTGCCAGAGCCAGGGCTTTATTACGCTTTATTGCCAGAGCCAGGGTTTTATTATGCTTTATTATCACTAGTCCAGGGCTTTATTATCACTAGTCCATGGCTTTATTATCACTAGTCCAGGGCTTTATTATGCTTTATTGCCAGAGCCAGGGCTTTATTATCACTAGTCCAGGGCTTTATTATGCTTTATTGCCAGAGCCAGGGCTTTATTATCACTAGTCCAGGGCTTTATTATGCTTTATTGCCAGAGCCAGGGCTTTATTATCACTAGTCCAGGGCTTTATTATGCTTTATTATCACTAGTCCAGGGCTTTATTATGCTTTATTACCAGAGCCAGGGCTTTATTATGCTTTATTGCCAGAGCCAGGCTTTATTATGCTTTATTGCCAGAGCCAGGGCTTTATTATGCTTTATTGCCAGAGCCAGGGCTTTATTATGCTTTATTGCCAGAGCCAGGACTTTATTATGCTTTATTACCAGAACCAGGGCTTTATTATGCTTTATTACCACCAGGGCTTTATTATGCTTTATTATCACTAGTTCAGGGCTTTATTATCACTAGTCCAGGACTTTATTAAGCTTTACTATCACCAGTTCAGGACTTTATTAAGCTTTATTACCACTAGTCTAGGGCTTTATTAAGCTTTATTACCACTAGTCTAGAACCAGGACTATTGAGCTCTGTTACCACTAGTCCAGGACCAACGCTTTATTGAGCTCTATTACCAACCACCAGGGAGTCCAGAACTGGGGCTTTATTGAACTTTATTACCAGCCACCAGAGTCCAGAACTGGGGTTTTATTGAACTTTATTACCAGTCACCAGGAAGTCCTGAACTGGGGCTTTATTGAGCTCTATTACCAGCCACCATCGAGTCCAGAACTGGGGCTTTATTGAGCTCTATTACCAGCCACCAGGGAGTCCAGAGCTGGGGCTTTATTGAGCTCTATTACCAGCCACCAGGGAGTCCAGAGCTGGGGCTTTATTGAGCTCTATTACCAGCCACCAGGGAGTCCAGGATTAAAACCATTAAACTACTGCATCAACCTATCCAGGTAATTCTGTAATTCTCCTATGTCTTCTTCAGAGTTTATTTGATGACCAATTTCAGTGTCATTGGGAAACTTGCTTATATCGCTATGTATTCCCTCATATAAGACATTTATGTATATTATGAATAATAAAGGGATCAACTCTCACCCTTGTGGAACCCCGATGGAAATAAGTGACTTTGACCTTTTTGTGTGTTAGCTTAGGTAATTTACACTATATATGGTAATTGTACTTATGAGTACCTGTGCCTAAGTAAATTTACACCACTGGTATCTGGTCCTCACTCTGATGTCTCCCCATTTATGCAAATTCTGTCAAAAATTCCTTGATTCAGGAGATAAGTTCTCTACCTACTCCGTGTGCTGCCACTTTCTTCAACAGTCTCTGTGTGGTGCTCTATCAAAGACCTTACTGCAATCTTATGCCTTAGTAACAAAAAAATTAGTAAATTTGTAAGGCAGGAACGCCCCTTCTATCAGCTTTCCTACATCTTAAGTTTAAGTTCACTGGTCTATAGTTCACTGATAACGACATACCTCCTTATTTCTCAACAGGTATCATATGTGCCATTTTCCACTTATCTGGTATGATACTCGTAGTGATTTGTTGAAGAGACTTGCTAATGGTTTACTAAGGTTCTTCACATTCCTTCATAATACTTGAAAACAGTTCCTCAGGACCTGGTGACCTGTTTGTTTTTTTAACTTATTTTGAGCACCATATAACTAGTGACTGATGACTGGAAAGGTATAGTGACATCAATAATATGTTTAGATAAAGACACGTATATTTCTTGAGCTTTACCTCTTGGCTCCCAGTTTTTAGTGAGTTTTCCATCATGGATTCAGAGGTGGCCTTGATAAGTGTTTTATCAGGGAGTCAAACAACTGGTGTTCAGGACTGGAGTCCACATCAAAATTAAAGTCAAAGATTTATTTCCATATGATACAATGTTTGTACAGAAATGTGTAACATTTGGTTGTGCATGCAGAAAGCTCATTTCCGCCTAGCTTTAGTTAGTTTACTTGTGCAACCTGATCGGCTAGTTTCTTGTGCCATGCAGCTCATCCTGTGAGCTTTACCTAGGAAAAATTATAGACGTCACACTGAGTCTTTATCAGACTCAAGTGACCATTGTTACATCACTAGAAAGATGTATTAATCATTTCATATATTACAATTACTTCATATAGTTAATGTACACAATTCAGTATGGAATAAAATATACAAAAATATTGATATCTTATTACCACTAAAAGACATTGGTCATAACTGGACACTGTCCACACACCGGTGTGTGACATTGTCTCTGTTTATACACTAGTGCGTGGCACTGTCTCTGTCCACACTTGCGTATGACACTGTCACTGTCCAGACACCAGTGTATGACACTGTCACTGTCCAGACACCAGTGTATGACACTGTCTTTGTCCACACACCAGTGTGGACAGAGACATATACTGTATATTTGTGCCTTGTTTCATATAGTACTACATTCAGGTCTTTGGCCATGAAACCAGTCTTGAAAAATGGAAATAAATTACTCTGACTTTTTGAAGGGCTATCATGGGGGGGGATAATTTACACTCTGTATTATAATTGTACTTATGTGTACTCGTGCCTAAATAAATTTACTTATTACACAACCTCAGATTAAGTCAATATCTTTTTCCTGTATTCAGGGATTTAGGGCTTACTAAAACTGGACTTTTAGTGAGATCTATCAAGTTTTAGTGGCCCTAAATAACCCCAACAAAAAGTACAAGTTTTAGTGGCCCTAAATAACCCCAACAAAAAGTACAAGTTTTAGTGGCCCTAAATAACCCCAAAAAGAAGTATAAGTTTTAGTGGCTATAAATATCCCCAACAAGGACTTAGGTTTAACATCTTTATTATGCAAGAAAAGTGCAAGTTTTGGTGGTCTTAAAAGTAATAATAATAATCTTTATTTCCACCATTGTGACACAGCAGAAACTTTCCTAGAGTTGACGTCTCATTTTTGCCTCAACATCAGTCACAAATTTCCTGGTTTTGTGTGTTTTCTATATTTTATATGTATAATAATTGTACTTGTATACCCATGCCTAAATAAGATTACTAGCTCATTATGATTGTAACCAGATATAAATATGTAAATAAGACTGGGCCATGGGGGCGTTGACCCCCAAAACCCTCTCCAGGTTTACTCCAGGTATACCTAATGGAAATAAGTCACTTTGACTTTTTTTTGGTTATACTGGTGGGTAATTTACACTGAATGATAATTGTACTTATATATACCTGTGCCTAAATGAAGTTATTTACAGTTGGCGCACTTTTAGTTAGCTCCATTTTCCGCTCTGTGGATATTTCTTTAACAGGTTTTAGTGGGTATGTGGTTGTTAAACTCAGGTGAGGGTGTGGGGACTGTGGGCATCCTGCCCTGCTGGGGTATGGCGAGGGAGGAAGAGGTCTACCTACAGATAAATGGTATAAATTACCAACACGATGGAAAAATATCCACAAATGCAGTATAATGAGGATCTTATAATATTACAATTGTGCTGTTATTATATCAAGAGGTCTACTTGATTTAGTTGGGAACATCTAGTATCTGTTTCTGTTTGAAAAAAGATTACTGTTCGCTTTTCTTTCATGGTACAGCTTTGGGCAATGTCTTCCCCGTACAATGACCATAATGGAAATAAGTCACTTTGACTGACTTTTTTGGGTTATCCTCGTGGGTAATTTGCACATATGTCACTATGTATGATAATTGTACTTATGAGTACATGTACCTAAATGAAGTTTACTTTTCTTTACTTTACATTACATGCTTTCTATTCTTTTCTAGTCTAGTTTTTTCTTTTCTTTTCTCATTTTTCATTTATCTTTTCTCTTCTTTCTTTACTCACTCACTATACTGTGCAAACTGTCAGTGTCACAACCCTTAACAAGTAGTTATAGTGATACATCTGTTATATAGACCTGACTGACATTATTGGTACACTATATAGAAAGCTTCTGCTTATGTAGAGCATTTCTGATAACTTAGGTTAATTTTGTCCCACAGAATGCCACCCATACCAGTCACTTAACACCCAGGTACCTACTTACTGCTAGGTGAACAGTGACAGAAGGTGTAAGGTGACTAACATCCAGGCACCTACTTACTGCTAGGTGAACAGGGACAACAGATATGAGGAAACAGGCCCAGCATTTCACACACACTGTAAGTGCGTTAGTCGGGGCCTAGCAAATTGCGCTTATCCTGAATAAGAAGAAGCCTCGTATATAATTTTAAGGCTTTACATTGTTTTGTATGGTAATCCTCTAGAGGCTTTCCACTTTCTTGTTCTTTTTGTTAATACAGTACTGTTTTGTATATTAAAATAATTTTTTTTTTATTTTTGATAAATCTTATAATAGGTTTACCATTGTTTTCTATAATACAGTAGGTCACCTGAGGTGCTCAGTGATAATTTTACTGGAGATGTGCGAATTAAAGCCAGACAAAGTTAGTTTAATATGTTTATTATGCACCCCATACCCATCCTGTGGGTGGTAGTCAAAATATTACAGAGGTACATAATTGGTCCAGAGACCGGGCCACAAAGTTTTGATTGGTGAACAAGTTACAATGGTAATGAACTAGTATTTACATGTTTATATCTGGTTACAATCATAATGAATTATTTATGCAGACATGAATTAAGTCACACACACACACAGTTTTAAGTGGCAATGAGTTATTTACAGTGGGCAAAGTCAGGGTATTTTTCCAGGTTGGTTTGTAATGTATACCACTATGGATAAAATACTAGCCAGAGAAACACTGCTTAATTGAACTCTGAATCAGACCAATTTGCTTGCTCTTCCACAGTAGCTGTACATGACCTCTTTGGGTTTAGCTTTCTTTGTCCATAAGAAAAAGTTGGCCATCATGGGTTAATAATCTGCATACAGTTTGTCTTCTTGACTTACTGGTACAGTAGTGTAAAGTTGAAAAAGGCAACTTTATTTGGATTACTAACACAGGTTAACATTTGCAAGTCACACTACACACATATATATACGTATATATATATATATAGTATATTATTTTCATTGTAATCCTTAGGTCCTCTTCTTCAGGATGCCACTCACAGCAGTCTACTATTTACTGCTAGGTAAACAAGGACAGCAGGTATATGGCAACATGCCCATATATCTCGCCTTGTCTGGTACAGAATTTGGGGTCTTGGACAATACTCTGCGAAGATTGTCAGGTTGTCCCGAAAGCCCAAGATCTATTAATATGTTGTCCTGTTCATCAGAGACCATGCCAGACTCTGTTGGCTTGCATAGTACTGCCTCATGCTCGCAACTGAAGGACCCGAATTCGATCCTGGGGTTCATGGAGACATTAGGCATGTTTCTTTAGACCTGCTGCCCATGCTCTCTTAGGCACCTGGGAGTCATTTGATTGTTGGTGGCTTTCTGGGGAACAGGATCAAAAGCATTAATGAAAATAAACCAGACTGTTTGGCTTTCTTTGATTACTATCTTCCTGTGTTAATAATCCTAATGAAATCATCTTCAACTTTATATTGAACTAGAATATGCTAAATACAAAAATTATGAATAAAGAAAAAGTACCTTACATTGTATATAACCTTATTAAAGATTTATAATTATCATTATTATTATTTTATTTTAATCATTATTAATACAGTGGACCCCCGGTTTACGATATTATTTCATTCCAGAAGTATGTTCAGGTGCTAGTACTGACCGAATTTGTTCCCATAAGGAATATTGTGAATTAGATTAGTCCATTTCAGACCCCCAAACATACACATACAAATGCACTTACATAAATACACTTACATAATTGGTCGCATTGGGAGCTGATCGTAAACCGGGGGTCCACTGTACTGTATAATTATTTGCTAATAGTAGTAATAATAGTAATAATTCCTGAACCATTTTTTCGTCTCCCCATGTTGTACTAAATGACCCTTACTAGCTTAGCATTTTCATTAATATTCTAGTGTAATACAGAACCAGTAGAACAGTAATTCTCAATATTTTCTTTTTTTTTTTTGAAGGAAAGAAGTGAGTATCTTGTGAAAGAAGAGATTTCAATGGAAGACATAGAAAACTATACATATGTTATTGTGGGAGGAGGTATAGCAGGCGTTACATGCGCTGAACATGTAAGTCTCACCTTATACTCGCCTTTTTTTTTTTTGGCAGGGGTTGAATCTCAACTCCTGGCCCTGCCTCTTAAATTGCCACTTGCCAATTTCACTCATGGCCTCGTGGGCTCTGTCATACCTGTGCCTAACACTGTGCATGGAGCCTGCCTCCACTGCTTCATCTAGATCATTCCAATTCCCGACCATCCTCAGGCTGAAGAAATACTACCTGACAATCCTATCCTCATTTGTGTCTTTAACTCTCAACTGTGTCTCTGAGTTCTTGTTTCTCACCTGTCAAACAGCCTGTCCCTGTCTACTGTATTAGTTTTCCCTGAATATTTTGTAATATACTAACAGTTGTCTGGTACATTTGTCTGAAAAATATGATTTATTATCATTTTCTTCTGGTATTTTAGCCATAAAGTATGCCCGAAATGCCTAGCCATGCTAAGCGTTCTAGTGGTACACTCTGTAATCACAATTTTACTACATGTAAACCAAACACTAACCAAATTTCTGTAAACTCAGCATTGTAATCCTTATAGAGAATAAACTTTGAATTGAATAATGCAAGTGCATATACAGGCAGGCCCCACTTTACAGCACTTTGCTTTACAGTGTTTTGGTAATTACAGACACTTTCAATTTTACCTATTCTTCATTTATTCAGATTTCCTACAATAAATATATTCTCCACTCACTATAAGATAAGAACAAAAATATTTTAAGGTAAGTAAAGTATGTACTTTACTGTATATGCACTTTTTAGGGCTAGCTCTATTGCTCACTTAATATATGATAGTGTAAACATTTATCAGACTTTTATATGCATTTGAAAGTGAGAAAAAGCTATCGTTCATTTTGCACCAGTAACTCAGAAACTAACCTGCTTTATAAGCAGGGCCCCTCTGTATTAAAGTTTATATTCTGCATATTTTCTACATATATACATGTACTGTACCAGTGTGAACTTTCAAGTAATCCAGAACTTACCTATATATTATTTCTTTTTAACTCATATTTTATTTACTTGTGTCTTGATTTTAAATTCTAATATTAAGTCAAAGTTTAAGAATGGCCAAAATGCTCTACATAATAATTGGCTTTTCAAATATAGCTTATACCTGTTTTGTAACTACAGTGGACCCCCGGTTTACGATCAGCTCCCAATGCAACCAATTATGTAAGTGTATTTATGTAAGTGCGTTTGTATGTGTATGTTTGGGGGTCTGAAATGGACTGATCTAATTCACAATATTCCTTATGGGAACAAACTCGTTCAGTACTGGCACCTGAACATACTTCTGGAATGAAATAATATTGTAAATCGGGGGTCCACTGTACTTATAGTATAACATTTTTTATTTGTAACTATTGTATGCTCTAGATAAGATAAGATAAGATTTCGTTCGGATTTTTAACCCCAGAGGGTTAGCCACCCAGGATAACCCAAGAAAGTCAGTTCGTCATCGAGGACTGTCTAACTTATTTCCATTGGGGTCCGCAATCTTGTCCCCCAGGATGTGACCCACACCAGTCGACTAACACCCAGGTACCTATTTGCTGCTAGGTGAACAGGACAACAGGTGTAAGGAAACGTGTCGAAATGTTTCCACCCGCTGGGAATCGAACCCGGGCCCTCCGTGTGTGAAGCGGAAGCTTTAGCCACCAGGCCACCTTTTTATATTCATGTTGATTGTATCATATACAGCCTCTCCTCACGTAGTGACATACTTGTTTACTGACGACTTGGATTTATGACGAGCCCTCTGATCAGTATGCATACGTAAATAGTATATATTAGTGCTAATTTCTTCTATTATGTTTATTACAATATATAGTATAGTACACTACTGTATAAACATTTAAAAATATACCAGAAATGTTATAAATGGTGCAAAGGTGATATTAAAACAATATCAAGGACAGCTGACACAAATCCACTACCATTATAGTATGCTCCTCACTTAGCGATGAATTCCTTTACCGATGTGGTCTTAGGAACGGAACTCTGTTGTTAAGTGAGGAGAGGCTGTATTAAAAAGCCTATAGTCATGCAATACATAATAATAATTTTCATTTTTAGAATTGTATCTAAAAATACAGATGTATACATTACTCTTGTTATAATTTGTATTTACTGCTAAGTTAATAAGGGCAGTAATTATAAGAACACTTGACAGAGTTTCTCACCCTGCCCAAGATGTAATTTACAGTGGTGGACTAACAACTGGTTACCTACTTATTGTTAGATGAAAAGGGGGACATTTTTTAAGACATCTCTCTCATTGACCTAACTTCTCTCAAGGGAGGCTCCTTGATGCCAGTGAGAGACTCTTGATCCAAGGAGTTGGGCATGTCTTCTCTTTCCTTTGATCAAACCTGTTTAATTCCTGTTCCCCAGTTGCTTTCTGAATTCTAAAGGTTTAGTGCTTCCATTAATATAATAATAATTATGAAACTAGTAATAATAATAATAATGAATGTTACATCTTTGCAGTTATATATTTTGCACCCTGAAGCCAAGACTGTCGTTATTACTGCCACATCACTTATAAAGGCAGTTACAAACGTCTTGCCTCTAACCAAAACCTTGGATGCCTTTGATGTTGAAGAACGACCAGCAGAGGAACTTGAGAATAACTGCCCAAATGTAACAGTCGTAAGAGACACTGTTGTTCGCCTTCATGCTGAGAAACAGGTGAAGTAAATTGAAAAAACAAGTTTATTAATTTAGAACACATGAATAACAGAAATAGATTTGCACATTTTTTAGGAAGCTGAAAAAGATCTGAAATTTTTTACAAAATAAGTAAGTTCAATATTAATATACAGGTACTCCTAATTTAACAACCTAGTTCTGTTCCTAAGAGTAGGTTGGTAAGCGAATTGGTCGTTAAGCGAGGAGCCGCCTCTTACTGATACCTCAAGCATGCTGTACTGGTAGTGGGTTTGTGTCGGCCATCTTCAAATATTGTTTTAATGTCACCTTTGCACCATTTGCAACATTTTTAGTATATTAAAAATAGAACTAGGCATTAAAAAATAATAAAAAAGTAACATACACATCTAGTACACTGATTGGAGAACTGGTCGTAAGTCTGAGCTGTCGTTAAACAGGTAGGTCGTTAAGTAAGGAGTTCCTGTATTTTGAATTGTAGTATTGGCACTCCTCTAACAAGATAGCGATGGAGTAAGTGCTGATGAAAGTGTTTCTCCTTTTTCAGGTCACCCAGCCTCAGTGGGAGGCAGTCAGTGTGTTAAAAAAATTGATATGTTTGTAGTGATGACAGGAATAACATTGAGAAATACTATACTATTTAACTGCAGTACATTAAATCTTTCATATTTGTAGCCCTCTAAGAGATGGGTGCTTTGATGCCAGGGAAGAGCTCTTGTTCTGAAGAAATGGAGCTGCTCTCTCCTTGGATCAGACTTCATTACTACACCATGTTAATGTTTTTTAACATGCTGGCTATCTCTCACTGAGATAGGGTGACCCGAAAAAGAAATGCTTTCACCATTTTTCACACTATCACCTTCTTCCCAGAGATGCATAGATATGACAGTTTAGATGTCCCTCCAAACAGTAATATCCCAAACCCCTCCTTCATGAATAGTAATGATATAGGTACACTGTTCTGCATTTATGAACATGTTTGACCTAGCAATTTATATATGAATTTTGCAGCATGTATACACATCTGCAGGAAGAGTTTTCTCCTATGAAAAGCTATGCATCTGCTCTGGAGCCAGTCCCAAGCTGGTAGAGAATAGTCCACATGTTGTCTGTATAAGAGATACAGAGTCAGCACAGCAGTTCCAGTCTCGTATTAAAGATGCAAAAAGAATTCTCATTGTTGGAAATGGAGGCATTGCCACAGAAATGGTTTATGAAGTCACAGGTAAGTTCTTGTAGGTTTTGCGAGTTGTGTTTAGTGTATGTATGGAGTCTTGAGGGAAGGACTCAGCAGTTCGCATCTGTTTGGTAAATGGACACAGGTGCAACTAATGTGACATTTTATTGTGGCAACGTTTCACTCTCCAGGAGCTTTGTCAAGGCTTGACAAAGCTCCTGGAGAGCAAAACATTGCCATGATAATATGACACATTAGTCCCTTTACCCAACATTTTGCTGGTTTACTTGGAGTCTACCTGGAGGATGTATCTGTACATTACAGATCACTGTGTATATTCAAAATCACTCAACATAGGTTGAAAATGGTCTGGTGACACCAACAAATTGTGGAAAAGGATGCTTGTGTATAGTTCAGGAGATTTATTAAAGGATATTAAAGGATTTATATTTATTCAAGAATTTAATAAATATCCTGAATTATACACAAGCATTTTTTCCTCACCCAGCATAGTTGGTGGTCAGACTTGCAACTCTCATCATTGAGGGTGGTGGTTCTATTACTGGAAGGAGGATTGAGCCTTCATTGCTTCACCTAGAAAGGTTCAGCCAGCACACATGGACACACTGCATAGCTTCATCAGTGCTGTTTTGTTTGCCTGATACACTTACAGTATTTTATGATATTTAACAAGATTTGCATTGTCAAGTATGGTAGAGCATTAATTATCCTGTTCTCAGTTATTCAGCTTCCAACATTATCCAGTGGTTTGGTTTGATCTTCCATCTAAACTGATAATACAAAGAATAACAAGGCACAATAACCTGCCCGGAACAATACACAAATAACTCGCAGAGAGAAAGAAACTTATGACGACATTTCGGAATGTGCAGAACAAAGGGAACAATAAATGATGTGATGATTCTGTCCCCCAGAAGTGCCAGATAATCCATGATCTACTGTATAAATATATAAATAAGTCTCCTAAACCTTCATAATGAATGGAGTTGGCTCATTGGCTATGCATATAAGTCTAGTAATGACTACCACCAGTTCAAACATTCCTCATGATGTTGAATTATAAATTACTGCTGAAACATTTTATAGAGGTTCCTGTGCAGTTAACTTCTTGATCCCAATTTTTGATGCTTTTCTACAGTGTAACACTTTTTAGACTCATGTGCAGTGTATCTTTACTTGGAGATTATTTCTCTCATTTGTTGCAGGAATACAGATTATATGGGCCATCAAGGATAAGTACACAACAGCAAATTTCGTTGATGCTGGGGCTGCAGAATTTCTTAGGCCAGAATTGGATAAGGAGAAAACAGAGAGTATTACACCAGTCAAGAGAAGGAAGTACATTGTAGATAAGATTGAGGTTTGTACTGAAGACTCTTGTACTGATATTTATGTAGGTGGTCTTACAGCTATTAATATTTGAGCTCTTAATTTTATTCAACACTTGTCTTTTTTTCAGTCGATGCTTGATGACCCTAAGAACAAAACACATTCACCGTCACTTTTTCCTTAGCTGTTTTTGCCAAAAACTTGATTGTCTTGGATCTACCAAAACATCATCTAGTTAATTATGGATTGATGAATTAGACACATGCACAATATCTGGGTATATTTATTTGTAGAAGTTTCACCATCCAGTGGCTTTATCAGTACAATACATGAACATAATAAGATTGTTTTTCAACATACCAGTCATGTACCGAGGCAGGGTGACCCTACACAAAATGCTAAACAAGTGGTCGGTACTTTAGGTTTGATTATCAGGAAGACCAGATAAACTCTTTCTTTCTTTCTTTCAACACACCGGCCGTATCCCACCGAGGCGGGGTGGCCCAAAAGGAAAAACAAAAGTTTCTCCTTTTACATTTAGTAATATATACAGGAGAAGGGGTTACTAGCCCCTTGCTCCCGGCATTTTAGTCACCTCTTACGACACGCTTGGCTTACGGAGGAAGAATTCTGTTCCACTTCCCCATGGAGAACCAGATAAACGGGCCGCAGGGGCATTGACCCCCGAAACTCTCTCCAGGTAAACTCCAGGTAATACCCTAGGTAGTAGGTTGGTAGACAACAACCGCCCAGGGAGGTACTACCGTCCTGCTAAGTGAGTGTAAAATGAAAGCCTGTAATTGTTTTACATGATGGTAGGATTGCTGGTGTCTTTTGTCTGTCTCATAAACATGCAAGATTTCAGATATGTCTTGCTACTTCTACTTACACTTAGGTCACACTACACATACATATACAAGCATATATATACACACCCCTCTGGGTTTTCTGTTATTTTCTTTCTAGTTCTTGTTCTTGTTTATTTCCTCTTATCTCCATGGGGAAGTGGAACAGAATTCTTCCTCCGTAAGCCATGGGTGTCGTAAGAGGTGACTGAAATGCCGGGAGCAAGGGGCTAGTAACCCCTTCTCCTGTATATATTACTAAATTTGAAAGGAGAAACTTTCGTTTTTTTCTTTTGGGCCACCCCGCCTTGGTGGGATACTGCCGGTGTGTTGAAAGAAAGAGAAAGTACAATATATACAACACAAAACCTGCCTTCTACATATTTCACATATATTACAAAATAGCTCGCTGGTATACTGCTACTAGTTAATTAAAGTTAGGCCATATGAAATACGTATCCACAGCAGTGGGTCTCCATGACCCACATAGGCCCCACATAAATACTAGGGCCAGGCCCAGTGCTAGGGCCAACTTAAAGAGTACAAAAATTTTGCCAAAAACAACATATGGCCTAAGCATTACCAAAAAAACCACACACTACTTATCTGCAACCTTGTTCCAGCAACCTTGCTCAAGCACATCTTTCCAGCAACCTTATTCTGGCACATCTTTCTAGCAACTTTGTTCCAGCACATCTTTCCATCAACCTTGTTCCAGCACATCTTTCCAGCAACCTTGTTCCGGCACATCTTTCCAGCAGCTCTAGAGTGCTAGTGTCTGCACACCCATCTCTTAGTCCCCTGTCACATCTCTCTCAATCCCCAGTCACATCTCTCTCAGTCCCCCATCACATCTCTCTCAGTCCCCCATCTGATATGTGTCTGTCTACTTTTCAATTTGTGTCCACTTAAGCACTTACAATATTTTTAATGGATCTTCAGCACACTACAAACACTTTATATTATAAATTTATTACAACAATGCAGTATCCTGCATAATAGTAGTCTAAATGGAATAATTAACTTAGTAATATGTTTGAAAGGGTGGCAGAACAGTACCGGGAGGAGCCCTTGGACCAGACTGGCATACTGGACTAGAATTGAAGGGTTGTCACCAACGCAAAGTTTTCATAGAGACGGAGGTGGAGCTCAAGACTATACTAGAACCTGCAGCTGTTAAACAATATGGAAAAACAGTAACAAAATTAAATTCTGAGGAGGGTAAGTACTCTAACTTCGGTGACTTCTAGAAAATATATTTCATTAATGTAATATCTATGATAGTTATTGTTTTAGAAATTTTGAATGTACAAGAGGGCTGTTTACTAAGAAGATTCCAATGCGTAGAATCTCAAATTTCTTTTGTATTTATAGTATAAAGATTTTTTAATACAAATTTAGTGACATTTCCTGCATTCAAAATTATTTAATGATACTCTAGTATAAAATACTATGAATAGGAGCAAGTGGAGGCCAAATGGTTTTTATGACCTGATGTGGTGTTGGAGTGTGAGCAAGGTAACATGTAGGGTTCAGGGAAACCGGTTAGCTGGACTTGAGTCCTGGAGGTGGGAGGTACAGTTCCTGCACTCTGAAGAAGGGGTGGAGATATGGCAAAGATATGTAATGCAAGCATGCCTCTAGAAGACAGTGATGGAGTGAATGATGATGAAAATGTGTCTTCTTTTTTGGGTCACCCTACCTGAGTGGGAAATGGCCAGTGTATTAATAAAAAACTACAGTATTTTCTCATATCCGAGTGTAACTACAAAAAGAATTCCCATTTTATGGTACAGGAGGGCCCTGCTTATAAGAACATAAGAAAGAAGGAACACTGCAACAGACCTACTGACCCACGCGGAGCAGGTCCATGTCCCCCCCCGGATTAGACCAATGACCCACCCCCCAGATTATCCCAATGACCCACCCAGTCTGGTCATCCCCACTCAAGGATGGAGCACTGTACCAGACCCAGCAGCACAAGCTAGTCAGGTCCAACTCACACCCACCCAGGCCACTGCTGTACAGCAAATCACAGTTCTTTTTCATTTTTAAATTCGTATAAATGCCTGATAACATGTTTACACTATCATATATTACATTAGCAATAGAAATAGGCACAAAAAAAAGACAAAGTAAAATGCACATACAGTACACTCATTACTCACTTTAAAATATTTGTAATCTTAACGTAGGATGAGAGGTGAGTAGTATTTATTATAGGAAGTCAGTAGGTGTGATAGCCCGCCTAGCTACCATACCTCACAGTTACGTTAATTTGTTTTACTATTTTGATGTATTTTTTTTATATATATGTAACCATTCTGTCTTACCTCAAATTTCTTTAAATTATAACCCTACCTTACACTTTCCTGGTATATCAGTAAACTTATTCCCTATAATTTTTACGTCTCTTTTGTCCCCTTACCCTTTATATAAAGGGACTATACATGCTCTTTTGCCAATCCCTAGGTACCTTTCCCCCTCTTTCATACTTTTATTAAACAAAAGTACCAACCACTCCAACACTAAACCCCCCCCTGCTTTTACTTTCTGTCATGATCCCATCAGTTCCAGCTGCTTTAACCCCCTTTCATTCTACGTAATGCCTCACGTACCTCCCCCACACTTACATTCTGCTCTTTTTCCCACTCCTAAAAGTGGTATACCTCCCTGACCAGTGCATGAAATTACTGCCTCTGTTTCTTCCTTAACATTTAAAATTTCCCTCAAAATATTCTCGCCATCTACCTAATACCTCCATCTCCCCATCTACTAACTCCCCTACTCTGTTTTTAACTGACAAATCCATACTTTCCCTAGGTTTTCTTACTTGTTTAACTCACTCCAAAATTTTTTTTTATTTTCATTAAAATTTTTGACAGTGCCTCTCCCACTCTATCATCTGCTCTCCTTTTGCACTCTCTTTACCTTTTTTTTAAACTCTCCATATACCTTGCTCTTCTTATAACACTTCTGCTTTTGTAAAAACCTCTCATAAGCTACCTTTTTCTCTTTTATCGACCCTCTACTTCATCATTCCACCAATCAATCCCTTTCCTCCTGCCCCCACCCTCCTATAACCACAAACTTCGCCCCACATTCAAATACTGCATTTTTAAAACTATTCCAAACCCTCTTCAACCAGCCCACTACTCATCTTTGCACTAGCCCACCTTTCTGCCAATAGTCGCTTTATCTCGCCCAAACTTCCTCCTCCCTTGTTTATACATTTTCACCTCCCTCTTACTTGTTGTTGCCACCTTCCTCTTTTCCCATCTACCTCTTTCTCTAACTGTAGCTACAACTAAATAATGATCCGCTATATTAGTTGCCCCTCTAAAAAACATGTACATCCTGGAGCCTACCCATCAACCTTTTATCCACCAATACATAACTAATAACTACTTTCATTACGTGCTACATCATCCCTTTGTATATTTATTTATCCTCTTTTTCATAAAATATGTATTACTTATTACCAAATCTCTTTCTACACATAGCTCAATTAAAGGCTCCCCATTTACATTACCCCTGGCACCCCAAAATTTCCCTATATTTCCCCTCTATAACATTTTTACGCACTTTAGCATTGAAATCCCCACCACCATTACTCTCACACTTGATTCCAAACTCCCCACGCATTCACTCAACATTTCCCAATATCTCTCTCTCCCTCTACACTTCTCTCTTCTCCAGGTCATACACGCTTATTATAACCCCACTTTCACATCCAATCTTTATTTTACTCCACAAAATCCTTGAATTAATACTTTTTATAGTCCCTTTTTCCTGCCATAGCTTATCCTTCAACATTATTGCTACTCCTTCTTTAGCTCTAACTCTATTTGGAAACCCTGACCTAATCCCATTTATTCCTCTCCATTGAAACTCTCCCACCCCCTCAGTTTTGGGTTTCATTTAAAGCCAGGACATCCAGCTTCTTCTCATTCATAACATCCACAATCATCTCTTTCTTGTAATAAAGTTGGTAGAATTACCGACAATATGTAAATTTAAAAGGACACAGTGCAACTAATGTGACATTTTATTGTGGCAACGTTTCGCTCTCCAGGAGCTTTATCAAGCTTGATAAAGCTCCTGGAGAGCGAAATGTTGCCACAATAAAAATGTCACATTAGTTGCACTTGTGCCCTTTTACTTTACATCTCTTTCTTATCTTTTGCAAAAACATCCACGCACATTTAGACTTCCACTTTGACAATTTTCTTCTTCTTATTCTTTTTAGTAATCTTTACAGGAAAAGGGGTTACTAGCCCATTTTTTCCCGGCATTTTAGTTGACTTTTACAACACGCATGGCTTATGGAGGAAAGTTTCTTATTCCACTTCCCCATGGTATAAAAGGAAAAGTAAAAAGCCCAAGAACTATTAAGATAAAATCAAAGAAAACTCAGATGAGTGTGTATAAATAAATGTGTAATGTATGTGTAGTGTGACCTAAGTGTAAGTAGAAGTAGCAAGACATACCTGTAATCTTGCATATTTATGAGACAGACAAAAGACATCAGCAATCCTACCATCATGTAAAACAATTACAGGCTTTCGTTTTACACTCACTTGGCAGGACGGTAGTACCTCCCTGGGCGGTTGCTGTCTACCCATCTGGGGTTTCTTCTGTTTTCTTAATAGTTCTTGTTCCTCTTTATTTCCTCTTATCTCCATGGGGAAGTGGAACAGAATTCTTTCTCTGTAAGTCATGCATGTCATAAGGGGCAACTAAAATGCTGGGAGCAAAGGGCTAGTAACCCCTTCTCCTGTATACATTACAAATTTAAAAAGAGAAACTTTCATTTTTCTTTTTAGGTCACCCTGCCTCAGTGGAATATGGCTGGTTTGTTGAAAAAAAAATTATTTCATAGGAATTTCCTTTTCATTCCTCCTTGTGTGCATTTTGCACCTGGACCCCAAAGTATCAGTAAGGCATGTGCAGTCTTCATGGCATAATGTGGCACGTACCACTGCTATATTACATGTTCAAACTCGTGGCTGAGCAACAAGGTTAGTTGTAGCATGTGTGTTTGGTATATGATTACATTTGTCGTTACAGTGGTGCCTATGCTAACCTTCCTGTGGTTTATAAATATGTACCTAGTTGGATGAATCTTATTGTAGCCACTGGCCCAGTGGATGGAAAATTTAGGTTTGGAGTTTCATGACACTCTGACCACGGGTTCAAGCCCCACCTTTGGTACAGTTTGTATTTAAATATAACTGATTATCAGTATTTAGTGTTTTCTTCTTAGGTAAAAAATATATTAGGTCATAAGGCTCATAATTACACAAGACAAGAAATAAAGTAATACAGTACAGTTTAACCTATTTATTATTGGCAGTTTGGAGGGATGTGTTGTGTATCTTTATACGTATATACTTCTAAACTGTTGTATTCTGAGCATCTCTGCAAAAACAGTGATTGTGTGAGTGAGGTGAAAGTGTTGAATAATGATGAAAGTATTTTCTTTTTGGGTCACCCTGCCTCAGTGGGAGAAGGCCGACTTGTTAAAAAAAAAAAAAAAAAAAAAAATCAGACAGTTATTTGTTAAAGGCTTCTATGACACCTCTACTGAAGTGGCTTGTAAGGAATGGCTTATAATAATTTACTTCATCAAGATAAATACTGTTTATCATTTTTCAGGATGGAATAAAAAAAAGGGTGTGTTATGGTAGATGGTCGCATGCAAGGAGCAGTGTTAATTGGCGAGACCGACATGGAAGAAACCTTTGAAAATCTTATTCTCAACCAGATGGATCTCTCAGAGTATGGCGAAGACTTACTTAACCCAGATGTTGACATTGAGGATTACTTTGACTAATACCAAATCCAATAATATTTTAAATCCATTTAACATTAGAGATTAATAGTCACTTATATTTTTCAAATGATTTAATTAATTTTATGATGAGGTTCCATGCTGTATAGCTTTTATTAATGGGGAGTTGCTACATCCATAGAGGTTGCACAGCATCTGGGGCAAATAGGAGGCAAATGGTTCAGCCAATGTCCGTCACTCAACATCATACCCCAACTCCATCTCTCAAAAATCTATTGATTTATCAAAAAGCACTAAACCCACAAGGGCCATACAGCACTGTTAGGAGCCCTTCGCTGTAAGCCCTTGGGGCCCTTAGCGCTTCTTTTTTATTATAATTAATAATAGGAGCCCTTCACACTATCAAGGCACTTTTCTTTAAATTAAATGCAATCTTGATCAAATATTTGTAAAATAGGCATAAATGTGTATACTCCAGTGGCTTCATTATGGAGTGAGTTGTGGTTCAGAAGGTCATTTCAACTGTAATGTCTGCCCACTTCAGGCAAGATAGTGAACGAGACCTTCATTTTTTATTATAATCATGGGGTAATGCTAAACCCATAGGATTATTACGCACATGTGGGGGAGGGGAGGAAGGTATTCAGGCTTAATTCAGGGAACCAGAGCACAAATCCAATTCCCTAGATCAAGAGCCCTTCACCAGCATCAAGGAACCCCCTTGAGGAGACCAGACCTTTCAAGCTGGGTAAGAAGGTACTTCAGTACTGTTGTGGTGCTCTCGATATAAAGGAATTTGGAGTTATCCTTCCCTTTCCTTTAATCAAACCTGATTACCTCCCAGTGCCAAGCACTATATGCCCTGTGGGTTTAGCCATGACCATATAAATTGTTTAACCAAACTTTTCCTTTCTGATAGCCCTTCCTACTTTTGCTGCTGATACTATTTCCTTTCTTCAGGGACAAAAATTTGCTTCATCAGCTATGACCACTAGACTTAGCAAATGCCCTTTTTTCCCCCCCTTTGCCTGGGAGGTAATCAGAAGAGCATGGTTCCAACTCCTTGGAGCAAATGCCCCCTAATCAGCATCAAAATCCCCGGGGAATTAAATAACTGTAAATTTAGGAAGAATAAAAGGCAACAAAAAAATTTGTGGCTTTAAAATCACTTCTTCACTCCTACAATGCATTCACACTAAACAAGCATGACTCTAAAACCCCCAAAATTGTGGAATGAAACTTTCAAATATGACAATCATAGAAATAAATCTACCACCTTTACTGTCCATCCATACATCGTGCATCCTATCAAACTTGGTCATTCATTAACTATACACACATTCAGGTAAATAAACAAGCAAATGTTCACCAGATCACCATAATCCTTAAGTTAATGCAATGGCAAGAGAATTTTAAATCCAGTAATGTATATTATAAATTGTCACATTTTTCCCTTCAAGTCTATAATTTTTACTGCTGCAAATATACCTTATGAAGAATAATAAATATTCTGCAAGTTATGAAAACCAAATTAAGTATATTTCACAGATGTAGGATTGATGTCTGGACTTGTGCAGTTGTGATGGTTAAACTGTGGACACATTGCACTATGTCTGCCTCACCTTAGGCATTCCTGGAAAAAATATTAACGAGAGTTAGACAAATTATTATTATAATCAAAAAAGAAGCGCTAAGCCACAAGGACTAAAACAGCTAGAGTTAGACAAAAATAAAGTGAATATCACAACTGTATTGCCACTTTCATTAATAATGTATAGGGGTATTCAACCCATCCTCCTAAGCAAAGAAGTTGTTATTGCCCATAATATTGTGCATAACTATGGGGTTTACCATGTAAGACACCAACATTTATCTTTTTAACATGGGTACATTCTTGAAAAACACTTATTACTAACTTGAGATGGTTAGGTTTTTTATTGCCCATGCTTCCTAAGCACTTCCCTTCATGCATTATTGTTTTTATAACTGGTTAAATCTGATTGATATTAACCTAGCCTAAATAGCATATGCAGAGTAATAAGCAAAAACGTACTATAAATTAAAAAACTTAACATTAGCATTAAGAGGACAGGTTGACACTATTTGACGTATTACAACCATAATTATTAATTGCCTTAAAAAACAACACTAATCCCCATTTGACTCAAAAAGTTTACAGGAGCCTAGAATGTATACCGCATAGTAAACGAGCACCTGTGCCAACTAGAGGCATTTTATTAACCATTTTGCTCCTAGGTGCTCTGTTCAATTCACAGTTCTAAATATTGCACAAGTGTATTATTTACTTATACACAGTTCAGCAAAAATAATGACTATTCCACTTGGGATGAAAACCATCCGAGACACAATATGCAACAAATTCTCACATTAATTAACCAGTATGAAAGACTATGCACCATATTTTATTCTTTATGATGTAGGTATGAGATTACCTATATTTTAGATTCAAAATTTAACCCAATTTACATACATTATATCCTTCTAGTTATAAGAGCAAAATGACCAGAAAAATCAACAAAATTTAAAATGTACAGAAAAAAAAGCTAAAGCTTTTATAAAAAGCTACAGCTGAATTTATTAGATTAAGAAATGCTTGTAAAAAGCATAAGATTCATGAAAAATTGACTTATAGATCAGATCCAAAGCCAAAAATAAACAGAATTTTTCATCCCTTTAGGATATTTATTGAACATATTATTATTATAATAAAAAGAAGTGCTAAACCACAAGGGGCCGAACAAATTATACAAGTTAAAAAAACTTGCAACAGATAATTATAAGTCATTGTATATATTGATTACCTGAGTTGGGCAAAACCAGAAGATGAAAGAATTTCAACAGCAGTGATAGAGACGTCACAGAGCAACGAACACTACTAATATTGCATCTTCCATATCCCACTTGTGTGTTGTAAGTCTTAGAAAGTAGGTTCATTTGTGTGATATATATTGAAAGTACAATATAGAACCAATCCTGGAGAGTATTCAGAGACCCACTATTATATATTTGAAGAACTTTTCATGTAAAATAGATAGCTTGAAAAAATGCTTTAGTTTTTAAAAATTACTGAAAATTTAGACCATACAGCAATATTTGCTATTTAACCTTTTTTAAATTTTTAAATGTGGGGGAAAAGGGGTTAGAAATTGGTGAGGGGAATACAGGAAAGCTAGTGAGAAAATGGATGAGACCTCATTTTACTGAGAACAAGATTCAATATTGGAGGGAAGAGTGAAAAGTTGGTAAAGCCTGGAGTCAAAAAATTTGGAAGTTTTAAAAATGATAAAAAGGGGAGGTGGATACATTGGTATAATTGAAAGGATATTTTCAGGAGTTGTTTTAATGTTGGTGAAGAAAGGGAGGCAGTAATTTTATGCTTGGGGCAAGAAGGAATAACATCTTGGAGGGGGGAGAGTGTCACACAATGTGGGGAAAGTGAACTAGGCAGTGGCAAAATGTAGGGGGGAGAAGGGGATACAGCAGCTGGGACAGATTTTTAAAAGCAGGTAGTGATATAGGTTTGGATTGGCTGGTGAGTTTATACAAGAAGGAAATTTTGGCAGAGAGCATGTATATTTCCCTTTAACAAGGGAAAAAGGAGGATAAGTTTGAATGCAAAAATTTATAGGGGAATAAATTCAAGTATATCAAGTACGTGTATGGTAAAATTATTATATATCGAAAGGGTTACAGGCAAGACCGAATGTGACAAATACTTAAAGTTAAGGAACTTTTTGTTGCATTTGTGGACTTGGGAAATGGCGACCAAAATGTCATCGTAAGCCCCTCTCTCCTATGTGGGGGTTATTATGTATTGTTCCAGTCACGGTATTGTGCATTTTTTTTATTTTTGGAAATGGCATATGGGGGTGGATAGGAATGCAGTGTGGCAGATGTTGCAAATGTATGGAGGTGGTGGTAGATTACTAAAAGTAGAAGAGGAATTTTTCTGCAGATATCGAGGCTCAAGTGGTACATTATTCAGAGCAAAGAGTGGTGGTGACTGCTAAAAGTCTTAGTCCACTAATCAAGAGACACACACACACACTACTTGCATCCAGCCTGTACTTATATCCAGAAAAGGAATAGGACATGCTAGATTATATTTTGATAAAACTGCCTAAAGACTTCTCTGTTGCATCCTCTCCCAAGAAGAGCAAAGGATAAACAAAATGCCAATGACCTACATGGATCAATTTATGTTAATATTTGTTAATGATTCTGGAAATTCTAGGTAGTAGGTTGGTAGACAGCAACCGCCCAGGGAGGTACTACCGTCCTGCCAAGTGAGTGTAAAACGAAAGTCTGTAATTGTTTTACATGATGGTAGGATTGCTGGTGTCCTTTTTTCTGTCTCATAAACATGCAAGTTTTTCAGGTACGTCTTGCTACTTCTACTTACACTTAGGTCACACTACACATACATGTACAAGCATATATATACACACCCCTCTGGGTTTTCTTCTATTTTCTTTCTAGTTCTTATTCTTGTTTATTTCCTATTATCTCCATGAGGAATTGGAACAGAATTCTTTCTCTGTAAGCCATGCGTGTTGTAAGAGGCGACTAAAATGCTGGGAGCAAGGGGCTAGTAACCTCTTCTCCTGTATATATTACTAAATGTGAAAGGAGAAACTTTCGTTTTTCCTTTTGGGCCACCTTGCCTCGGTGGGATACGGCCGGTGTGTTGAAAGAAAGAAAAGATTCTGGAAATCATTGCCCCCCTGCAGCCAAGTCTTAAATCACACTTCCTAAATTGATAAGGAAATACAGCAGGCTTCTGACTAATACAATGGTTCCGTTACCTGAAATCACGTTAAGTGGACTAAAATGCATACAGATATGGAAAAAAATAGGGTTATACTCCTTGGAGCTATTAAAAAAAAAAGCTACAAGGTCAAAAGAAACTAACTGATCTTACCTTCAGGTCTGATTGCTGTTCCTTATTGATATACAAGTATGTAGAGAGGGTTAATGTGGCCCTGTATAAACATATGATAGGCAGTATCAGCTACTGCCACCATCATTTATCATTTCTAAGGCCTGGGGAAGCAGGTTTCATGTGTATTCCTTCCACAAACTGAGCAGCAGAATTCTTTACAACACTACTGCACTGGCCCATAACACCACAAACATGCTAAATGCACCACAGTGAAGATCATAACTTCACTACATAAATCTTGTTTAATAACTTTTTTCACACTACCAATCACCAATATATTTTATAGTTGTACAGTGGACCCCCGCATAACGATCACCTCCGAATGCGACCAATTAT